AGCTGACCACAGTGAGTAACACCATCATTGTTTATCATGTTTTCACTGCAAGTGGGATGTGGTTCATGCATTTGGAATAATGACAGATGTCTCCTATAAGTTCCTTCCCCTACAAAAACCAGGAAAAGACCCTGGTTTTCTCTGATCTACCTCTGTAAACAGGATGCTCACGTCAGAGTCGCACCCATTTCTCTGTTTCCTACGTTGTGCATTCCCATGGCTAGACTGAAATGTACTTCCATCCAGTCATCCCACGTCCATGTGAGATGGTTGTAAACGGCATTGTCAGTACAGGAGTAGCTATCAAACTTAGCACAAAACCAGCCCACTCAAGCTGACTGTATTCTTCTCCTTATGAGGGGAAAAAAACACTTTCTGATTTTGGGTCAGAATTGGATGGATGCACGCATAAAGATGGTTAATCACTGTCACACTGTGTGTGTGTGTGTGTGTGTCTGTGTGTGTGTGTGTGTGCGTGTGTGTGTGTGTGTCTGTGTGTGTACGTTTATGTCAGCGAGGATAAGAGTAGGAGGAGGAGTGGGGTGTATGAGTGCATGTGTGCACATATGCTTGTGTGGGAGAGAGCATGCTCCAACAAAAGACCTAAAAATAGTAAGACTATGCTCATGTGACATATTGAGGCTAAAAGCTTGTGAATAATTTGTCTAATGCAACACATTCTCCTCCTAAGCTCTGTCATGAAAACATGTTCCTGCTAGTAACCTCTGCCAGCCAGCAGGTTGGAAGGGAAAGTTGTATCCAGCCTGTTTCAGTACCTCAGTTGGGTTTTCTGTCTGTTCATGGATGGCATTTGGATCATTTTTATATGTTTCAAGCAGGTACAGTAGTCGAGTTAAGTAAACACAGATACCAACCTGATAGTAACTATGTAATAGTCTTAGTTTAACTTAAATTTTCAGTCTTTTAAGTTGTTAATATATCTTTACGTTATCAGTTCAGTTCCTTATCTAATCTTCCCCTTCCCCACGCATATCTACAGTTTACCTCGCTTATCCGAACCATTTATTACAAGCTGAAATTGAAAATAGACACCTGTTATATTTGTCTGTTGCCTTGTGAATATATTTGTGTGTGCCACTCGACTGGACTGAAGTTAAATTGGAAACCAACTTTGCAAAGTTGCAGATATGTGAATGAGGCATTAGGATTTCGAAATGCGATCAAGGTATAAACAAGTGTTTGGCTTGTCGTGTCTTGTCTTGCCAAGACGACTTGTTGACTTATTTGAAGCTGTGCATGCAATATCATTATATGCAATTATATGCAACAGGAATGATGTTCCAAATCTGTGAAAAGAATAAAAAGGGAAAGGGACCGCTTTCCTAGCGTCTGGTATTTTCTTGTCTGTACCTAAAATACTTTATACACGTAGTCACAATAATACAAATCATTAATGGTGTTTCCTGCAAGGTGGATGGTGTAATAATGTCTCTTTAAAGAGAGATAAAACCTTCAGTTTCATTTGCTCCTTTCACACTCCACTTGTTTCAGAAGTACAATTAAATGAGTGTGGAGATCAACAGTGGGGGTTGTGGGGGGGAGGGGGGGGTTTGCACAGAGGGAACAGTTTGTGTTTTTTTTTTTTCTTTTTGGAGGCAGCATGAATGACAAAAACAGAACATCCAGTGATGTTCACTTATGCCTTATTCTCAAGCATGAAATGTCACAAAGACAGTTTGTTGAGTTTTTGTTTTTAACAGATATATTATTTTAACAACACCTACAGTGCTTAATAAATCTATTGACCACCACCAATGTAAGGTTTTTGCTACAGCTGCCCTAAATTAACAGTATTGCTCACTGACATTTTTTGTTTCTGTAATGGATCTTACTTTTTTTTAAAAAGTAAAGCACATTATTATTATTTTTTTAAATAGAAAGTACATTTGTGTGTTTCTTGTTTTTATGACAGTTGGTCTAATAAATTTAAGCACTACACTTAACACAAAAGAGCGAATCTTTAGCTCCTTGAATCTCGAATTCACCATCTCAGGCTGAGTGAGACGTAGTACAGATGCCAGATTCATGATATTACATATTTGGTTAAAAAAAATGCCTGTGAGGATTTGAATAATCTAAAACGTACAGAGATAGCTAATCTCTTATTCACATATTTGGAAAATATTGGTAATTATCTAATTGGATTTATGCATTAACCTAAAGTAAGAAAACAGAGAAAGAATGTTACATATATCTTTTCATATCTTTTAAGCTCATTAAAGCATATTTATTCGCACCAATAGGCTGTCAGCTTTTAATGCCTACTGTGAAGTCAAAACTGGCTGCCAGAGCACTGAGAGAAATTCTGAAAGAAATGTTAAACATATTGTCATGTACACTGGACAATAAACAAACAAATCCTTTTGATCATAATGAGCTTTGTGCACAGTATAAACCTTGTTTAAGCTGTTGTTAAAGGCATATCTTCACATAAGTAGTCCTTCATTTAAAACAGTAAGAGTCATCTTTTTTGCCTAGAACCACAGACCCGATATGACTCATAATATGCACATAAATAGATTTTTTTTCCTGCTTAATACATATTTCTGTCATTTCTGAAGTGTGTGTTAAGCTGCAAACGTGGGGTGTGTTTACCATGTTTCACTTCATATTTTGCTCACAGACGTTTTTCTTCTCTTTAAAATCGAGCTGCTCCTTCATTTCTTATCTTAAACTTCTTTAGAGCCTTGCCCTCTGTCAGCAGCCCTGTAGTTTTAAGAATACCGATACAGCTCTCCACTATAGTTATGCACGGCTCGTAATTGACATTTAACAACAGTGTTTTGTGTTACATACTCAGCATTCTGTCAGAGCAAATATCCTTTTGCAAACGAGACTATTGATTCTGCTGTGAGCACAAGATTAGCTTGCACCACTGAGGAGATGTTAGGGCTCAGGCGCTTTGCTAATTTCAATAAATAAATAAATATCCTGGGTCGGTTTGAAACTCTGCGTTTCTCGCAAGATAATCTGATAATCATTAGATTAAAATGTGTATGTATTCTCGTGACCGTCGTCTTAACCACGCCAGCTCATGCAGTGCCACACAAGATACAATCTGCATGTGAAAGACCTGAATTATTTAAAGCCATGAGAGTGTGTGCAAGTTCTCACTTGCTTACCTTACTGACTCTTTCTTCCATAAACTCTCCACTGCCCCTCCCCAGCCCCTGCTTTGCTAAGTGTTTAGAAGGAAGTGAATAATGTGTGAAGGAGACGCCACAAGAAAGATGTGGATAGTTTACAGCGAGCCACAGGACAAAAGACATTTTTCTATGACCATCTGTCGCTTGGAAAGGAAAACTTCTTGCGCCATGCCACGAATCTCTTAGCCAAATTAGAAAGCAATGAGGTTAAACATGCTGCGAAAGCAAAACATTGAAGCTGCAGATAGCAAGGGGGAAATCCAAAGGCAGGCAAGTTGGACAGATAGAAAGGGGAGATGATAGAGGGGAGGAGGACAGCTCACGCCAGCCCAGGGAGATTTTTGCGGAGGTGGAGGTAGACAGAAAGCAGGTGGATGTTTAGACAGAACGATAACACAGCCTGGCTGACAGAACGCCTGATAAGCAGCCTGACTGTCAGGTTTGGCAGGCTAGCAGTGAAGTGAGAGATCCATGCAAGGGGGAAAGGCAGACAGACGGGTGAAACTGAATAAATGAGACCTAGATATTGTAAAAGCATCATTTTAAAAGAGGTTTACCTGGGGTTGAATTTGAGACTCTAATTATGTGGGTTGCACTATTTTGAATGCAAATCTGGACTATTCATGTCTCATTCTAAAGCTAAGCATCCAATGGCGACAGTTGTGCCTAATATGTTTAGACTTCATGCTAAGCCTGCATCGTGATGTTAGCTCTCTTTGGCGAGCCGGATAAATATTGTCAATTTTGAGCTGCCTGAATGTTCATTGTTTGCTGTTTTTTTGTTTGTTTGTTTTTCGTTTGGTTGCTTGGTTTTTGAGTGACATCTTGACAGCTTGGTGGCGCAGTGGTTCGAGTCAGATGACCGTAGGTGTAAACTTGCGAACCTGAATGTCTCACCGTATTAGCCCTGCAACAGACGGTGACTTGTCCAGAGTGCAGACTCCAGTGTCCTTGTGAGCTTTTAGCACAGAGCAGTGTTATAACAAAATATAGACTCAAATAATCAGTAGAACGGTTAAAGCCTGTTTGCTGGGTTTGACTTTATATTCATGGGAAACTTTCACTATGCCTTGCTCGTACCAGACAACTCTGACCCTCCGATCCGAATGTTGCAACAAAAATCAAGGCTTATCAGACCAGGCGATGTTTTCCAGTCTTCTGTTATCGAATTTCAGGTCAGCCTATGCGAATTGTAGCCTCAGTTTAATGTTCTTAGTGGCACCCAGTAGAGTCTTCTGCTGCTTCAAGGTTTGACATATTGTGCATTCATTGATACTATTCTGCATTCCTCGGTTGGTTATTTAAATTACTTCTCTTTAAGCTACTTCTCGTTCCTTTCAGCTTAAAGAGTTCAGGCCAAGCTCTTCTGACCTCTGGCATGAACAAGGCCCAAAGAACTGCTGCTTGTTGGATATTTTCTCTCCTTTGGACCATTTTCTGTAAACCCTACAGATGGCTGTGTGGGGAAATCCCAGTAGATCAGAAGTTCCTGAAATACTCAGACTAGCCCATCTGGCACCGGCAACCTCGCTATGTTCATAGTCAATTAAATCAGATTTCTTATCAATTCTTAGTGTGAGCTTGGACAGGTCATCTTGACCATGTCTGCATGCTTAAATGCATGGTGTACCAAACAAAGTGACCCATGAAAGTATATGCTTGTGAGTGGTGTTGTATAGCTGTCTTCACTACCCTAACTTTCTCTGATTTTCAAAAAGTTTCTTCAGTGGTTTCATGTGGATTCTAACTGCAGCAATAACTGATTCTGTCTAATCTGTATTCACATCAAGTCTGCAGTGCTAACTGGACAAAACATTTCTTTCTCTGTTTCAGGGAAGCCCCAGAGCATCGAGAGCTCAGAGAGGGTCCAGCTGTCTGGAACCTACAACGTTCGGAAAGGGAAGCTTCAACTACCAGTCAACCGCTGGACCAGACGCCAGGTCATCCTGTGCGGCACTTGCCTCATCGTCTCCTCTGTGAAGGAGAGCCAGACAGGGAAGATGCACATCCTGCCCCTCATTGGAGGAAAAGTATGTAAAAGTCACACCATGACAGGGCGTTACTGTTGTCACATAATCATTTTCTTTTCTCTCTCTCTCCCTCTTTTACCCTGGTCTTTTTATGGTGATGTTATATAGTTTATGCCTCGGATCATAAACCTATAACATGATATCATCAGAGAATGACCTGATAAAGTCAATGTTATTACCCTCTTCACATGCCTCCCTGTGCAGGCAAGTTTGTCCTTGATGAAATGTCACCTTTAGTTTGACATCAAATACTGCTTCCTGCTTTGTTCATTTTAGCTCTCAAGGTCAGACAGGAATTGTGCAAGCCAGGGCTAAAGCACTGATGTGTGTTTTTTTTCTTCTTTTCTAATTTGGAGTCGAGACATGCTTTAATATTTACTGTAATGGATCATTATAGCCTTAAAACAGCTTTATGTCACTGTAGTGTTTTAAATTGCCTTCCCAAAAGCGACCTTTATCCATTTATTGCTTTATGTGCGCATGTGTGTATCTGCTAAACAAGCTCTAAGGGCTCTTCTGAAAAGCCTTATCTGCTTGTCTGCCTGATACAAAGAACACTCAGTATGTCACCACGCCCAGTTTTTAAACATTTCACACACAACACATTGACCTCGAGTCAACCCTCTTTTCTGTTCCTCTGTGTTTGTCTATAGTGAGTTTGTGTGCACGCCTGCTAGTATTCTGTTCAAACAACATAAGTAGTCAGCCATTCACCGAGCCTGCTGGAGTATGTGAGTGTGGATGACTGAAAAGCAATTTCACATGCACACGTTTTGTTTCTAATGTCAGTCACGTGTGTGTGTTATTTCATTATACGAACGTGCGTGCTTTTTCTCTTTTTTTACAGGTGACTGAATCTGAGTAGCCTGCAGACATTTAGTGTGTTATTT